CCACAAAAAATAAGTAATAAAAACACTAACACTAATTATTACAACAGTGTATGAAGAGTGTCACTAAAACCTAATAATAAAAAAACATAGCATAATCCACAGTCCAATTTCTTAAACTAAACGAACGTTAGGACACACAACGTTTTGTCATTTTCTTCGGACAACAGCGAGCCGGCGAGCGGTTGTCTGTCGTAGCACATCAGTACGTCGTATCAATACCATGTCCAAATATACACGTGTACACAATTCGACTAGTTTCCTGTATTGTGTATGTATGTGTACTATTGTGTAAGTTCATTTCTACCAAAATATTATGTTTTTAATTTAATATCTTATGAACAGTGTTAATACAAAACAAAACAAAAAACCTCGAAAACGTACCAAAAGCTCATTTCGTGTACAAACGATATTTATGAACTGAAAATGTCAAAAATATAAAAAAAAGGTTAAGGATTGTGTACCAATAAACTGTGCCTTTATCAAAAGATTTTCCCGAGATATGTACATTACTTTTTATCCTTATAACGCCTACAACTGCGAAGTCTACATTTTAATTGCCTCTGCAAATTAATTGATGGTGTGTCTTTAGTAGGCTAGCATGACGTGTTGATGGTGCCAGCTCCTAAGATTATTTTAAAGAAGGAGGAAACTAAAGGATTCCGCGAGTCTTTCCAGTTTTGTGAATTTCTTGTAAAGTGTGTAGGGAAAAATCCCCTGCTCTTTAAACTAAAAGTTTATTAGGCAAGGGAGACACTAATAGAATCTTTTCTCTTCTTCATAGATCGAAACGTTAATTTCGAAAGGACAACGGTGAGTACAAACAGCTAAATGAACGTGACATGTATTATTGAATTTGCAATGTTTCTAGCTACGATCGACAAGATTCAGTTCCTTTAAGAGGCGGGCTACTTTCGGCCCTGTTTGCCGGGGTTAACATGAGCTGCACAGTGTAGCACGTCATACCAGTGCATAGAAAGACGGGGATATTCTATAAAAGAAATAAGTAGTAAAAAAACATATTGTATTTTCGAAACAAACTTTTTAGAAAAGAAAATTATAACAACGGAACAAAAATAAAAAGTTGCTTCATTGTGTATTGTTTACCTTT